TCCACACGCTTTGGGGGCCATCCGTTTCGAGCGGCGATATAAATTCATCGGATAATATACCGGCTGAGCGCAGTTAGTCGTGTTTTAGAAGCCGAATGTCGCCTTTTATTCTTCGACGCTGCGTGTAAAAACGCAGCCTGTTATACAGGCTGCACCGGCGGCGAAACCATGGCAACACGACCACGCCAGAATCTCCTGCGTCGTATATTTAGCAACATCCGCAAAATTTCATTATTTAAGATAAATTTATTCTCCCGGAGAATTGCACCACCGAAATATTTCCTCTGCCGTTTGCTTCCTCTCCCTTCCCATCCTTTTTTCTTTCACTCGTTCGAGCTTCCCCCGCGCGCGAAGAAAAAATACCGAAATATAATTCAAACGGGGACAGGCGAAACAAAACGGATAATTACGCCATACGTTTAATAAATGAAACAGCCGCGTACTCGTCGTCGTTCGGTGGTACGTACACACCAATTTCTCTCTTCGCGGATTAGTTGTAATTTTCGAGAGGGGGAGACTTTGCATTTTCCGCCTGAGAGAACTGCATAAGTGGATTGTAAATTTGTTCCGTCAATACTATTATCCTTTGATTAGCGCACCTCCTTCGCGACACGTCGCACGCTAATTTTGCAATTCAAAGAGAGAAAGATGCAAAGGCGTTTACTCCAGACGGTAAAACAACTGGCCCGTAGATATTACACGCTCTGATTTTACACGGACACGTCGGGATGCGCGATCAGAAGATTTCATCGAGCGTCGTCTGGTCTTCTTCGAGGCAAATACGCAGGGTGGGGTCGAGATCGAGCAAATATCACCACCGGGGATAACTTTCCGTCTTTAACTTTCCAACGCAGCTATTTGTCGACAGAGGGGGAAGAAGAAAAGTGCGTCCGATGCAATTCCAGGTTCGTGCTTATGAAACGGGGGGAAGGATCATGCATATGCAATGTAATGCATTTACGCCTCTCATTTAATAGCCGCTACGCTATAACAACCCGCGATAACAACTCGTTCGTAAAGTATAGCGGTTTTATTTGCCGAGGAGCGGATTTAACCGTCGACGGCTAACTGCTGAATTCCCATAATTTCGAAAATCGTCGAAAGGTTAGAACCGCGACCAACCAGCGTGAATACAATGCACGCTCGATCGAGAAAACCGCGAACCATTTTCTCCGTCCGTTCGAAACAAGCTCTTTTTTTCCCTCGGATATATACGTCAATTACAAACACCGATTCAGCGTGTGCGAGTGCATGTCCGATGACACTTCCAACTAGACGGGAACAGCGAAATGCACTTCGACTCCCCATAAATTGCGCCTCGGACGAAGAGAGAGAAACATGGAATAAAAAAGGAGAAGAGGGAAAGAAAAAACGAAATTCGTTGATACGTTGTTCACGGTACGCTCGACATCTTGATACGATAGATGGAGAAGTCGCCGAGGGAAAGGCAGTGAAGCGGTGCGTGAACGCGTTTCACGTTCGACGCAACGAGAAAATCAGTTGAACAGCGGAGCGAACCTTCGCCGCCTACCGTGGCTAATCCAAGATCCGCAGGGAAGTTCACGACGGGGGTGTAAACCCGAGAATGTTGCGGCTAAGCCAGCCACCCCTCGGCCCCCTTCCTACCCCTTGGTCTCCATCGGTTGGCAGCGTTCGGTGCGATACCTGCTGCGAGTCTAGGCCAACCTCCGGCTTATCCCGACGACACTCGTTCGATACCGTAAAAGCCTGCGCGAGGGGGTGGACAGGTAGCAAGAACGAAACGGTGGAGGATGCGCTGGAAGACGGGGGATGCCGGTGGTTGCAGGCTACCTACCCTACCGCCCTGCCAGCCGAGGATCGCGAGAGAGACCCCCCGTCGAGGGATCCCATAAAATAGCTCCAGTAACTTTTTTACTTTATCACCCGCCGGCCCTCCCGCGAACCACCTTCCATGTACTTGCGAGCACATACGCCCCCGCGTATAACTTCCTCGCCTAGTGGAACACAAGTGCACCGCCTTCTAACCTTTGCGTTCCACCTCCTCCACCTCGTCTTCGGGCTTTTTCAATTATCGCCAAGTTATCCTATCGATGGATCGAATTCAATATGAATGAAACGAAACGCGAAGCGAGATTAGAATCGCAACAGGGGGAGAGAGTTTGCCGCGCGTCGTTAGCCGCGTCGCTTTTTGCTTATCGGCGTCACGTCACTTTTTCACCATTTCTCTCTCTTTCAGAGGCGTCCAGCCTAGCCTGTCAATTACCGATAAAAACAACGCGGGATCATACGGTTCAGGAACGTAACGCAGCCGGACGGAATGTAAATTATCGCGTCTACTGCAACGATAAATAAAGCGCGACCCCGCCGAATCCAAAACAAAAAGGGGGGAGGGGGGAGGTGGGGAGAACGAAGGACCGTCGCTACGCCGATTGTCGCATTGAGAAAAAAAAAAAAAAATAAAGGGGGTCAATGATTGTGGAGCGGGCATCGAGGTGGAAACGCGCGAGGAATTTCACGCTTTCTTACAAAGAGTATGGGAAATTTTTCGCGATCCTACTGAAAACGTGGCCACCACCCCTTCACTTTCCGGACTCGAACCAACACCACCCACCAGCTAGCGAGAAAAATGCGGTGGACTTTTCCCTCTTCGACGAGTATGGCGAAGAACGATTTTAGTCGTAACGAACCTTCGCCAAGGAGAACGGCTGCTGGAAAATTTCCGTTTCTTCTAACTTGCTCGTATTTCTTGCGTAAAAGTTGCCTGAAAGGAAAAACCGCGTTGCTTGGCAAAAAGGAACGGAAGAGCCGACAGGGAAAGGGTGAGGGCGTTGAAAGGGCGCTGTGGTGCATAACAAGAATGAAACGCGAACCACCGAAACCGAAGCGACGTGAGATTTTTATCCGCGTTGCCAGGAATCAGCGAGGAGGACGATTTAGACGGCAGGCGACTTGATTCTTGCTACTTTCCAAGACGCGCAGTGACAGAGGCGACGGTACGAATCGGGAAAACGAAGCGGTCGGAGACAGCAAGGGAAAAAGAGGAAGAGTGCGCGAGTCACGGGAGAAAAAGATAAATAGATGGATAGACAGGGAGTCGTATCCAGCAAGCAGAGCTTTCGTTCCCGCTACCCTCGAGGATGATTTTTCGAGAACGCGCGACAGCAAGCGAACCTCCGAGGAAATCTTCGTGCTCGACCTCGGCTATTTCCCTTTCCACGGGGCAGACAGGACAGACAGGACGGATCTGCATTAACTATGGATTCCGCTCATCCTCTTCATCCTTCTTTCGAGATTCTTTTTGCGGTTTTGCATCTTTATCGTTTCTGCTTTGGAAGGAAGGTTGTTTGGCAACCTTGGACGCGTGGGGCCGATGGGCTAGATACGCGCTATCGAGCGGAGAAACGCGGACGAATGAAAAAAGGGGAGGGTTGAAGGCAACAACGGATTTCCCTCTCGTGCATGCCGGTGCACGCCAACTCGAATAGTCGAAAATCGTGCTAACTGAGCTATTCAATTCGGATCGAAAAGCCCATTGGGAAAAATGATCGGTACTCTCGCGTGTATCCTACCTAAAGTCGTTTCCTCTTCCCCTCGGGACTCTGTCCATTCCCCAAGTCCATGCGTTTAACGCGTACGCAATACTCGTGCGAACCAACCAACCAACCGTCCCTAGTTTCTCCTTACAGCTGGTCGCGTGCGCGTTATCGACGTTTCAACTTCTGGCAAATGAGATCCGTGGAGAGCGCGTCACGTCCGCCGATACGATACGATGCGATACGATGCGATACGATGCGATACGATACGATACGAGTCGAGTCGAGTCGAGTCGAGGTCAGAGATCCCAATGTATGTAAATAATTGCCCGAAATACGGGGGATATGTCATCGTCATTTTCGAGTCAGCATAAAGTGCGGCTGAATTGGCGAGTATCGAGGCGACGGATTACCGTGTAATGACCGCGATTACCATGCAACTCGAGAGTCAACGGTCGCGCGCGATTCGTCGTCGAATCCAAGTCACGAGATCGCAGTACTCGAGCGTGATATATGCACGATACGATCGGACAGGCCCACGAGGCGTTTCCCCCTCGTCTGTCCGTCGAGTTCGACGTAAGCAGTCTTAAAGTCCATAGAAGAAGAAAAGGGGACGGGGAAGTTTCGACTCTTCTTTCGTTGGATGCGCGATCTCCTGGCATGTAGCGTGCGTTTCCGACCAACGCGAGTATATTCGCGGGTTTTACGAGTCGTTTGAAACGCAACGCGGCCATGGTGAACGGTGGTGCGCCGATTCGTCGGGCACTAAAAGTAAACGCATCGGAAACGTTTATGCTTGCCCGTCCGCGTTTTCATCGTGTCGCGCGAACACGCTCATTATTTGACCGCGCGGCGAAACTCAAAGCACGCATTATTATTTGCTGCTTCGGGGGACACTGGAGCTTTTTAAGCGCGACCGGCTGCTCCAGAGAGTTCTAGCCTCGCCAGCAACTATTCCGGGATCCTCTTGCTGCTTTTGCACTAGCGTGCCATCGTCATTCATGCCGCGCTAATTTACAAATTTGCCCATCCCATCAAACAGTCATTCACGTTCGAGCTTTCAAGCCTCGAACAAAAGCGCGTTGCACTGCCCGTTCACATTTTCTACTCTGTCTAATTTTCTTTTCCGCGAAAAATCGATCACTCTTCTTGCACGTGGTACCGAGAGCGCATATCGAGTTACAACCCTTCTATCGTTTTTAGCTATCAAACGCACCGAGTCTTTTCGTTGCTTCGAACCTTGTTGTACCGAATAGGCGTCTCTATAATAATACTATATAAACGCGTCTCTAGATGCGTTTGAATCGCACGATCTAAAGGTTGCAAACGATTCGCACGATTCTTGTTCAATGTTTCTCCACAAAACCGTTGTACACCATATAGATACTCCATCGACAGTCAAACACAGTAACAGTCCGAAACAATGTCCAGCAGTGTCCACAAACGTCTCTGAAAAGAAGTGGATTTCTCTGGTCGATTACTCACCACCCTTCTGCGCAATAATCGGGTCGATAGCCACCAACAGGACGAGGAAGATAGGAGTCATATTGACCACCCTCTTTCCCGTCTTCCCTCGGTCACCCGTGATCACTGCACACTTAATACCACCGTTGCAGCGTTCCACCTATGGAAAAACAAATCACCCTCGTCATAACATACCACCTTCACTTGCCGATGCAGCAGGTCTTCGTTTGTGCGAAGACGACGTGTGCCGATTAACCGTGTCTTGCTCGAAAAATCAAGCGCTGCCAGTTGTAGAGAAAAGACGACGATAGGAGAACTGTGTGTGTGTGTGTGTGTGTGTGTGTTTCGTTCTCGAACAGTGCGTAGTAAAACACTACGGTCCAGGGATTTTCCAGCGATATACCCTTGCTAATCACTCGCGGACTCTTTAGCTAACTCGCGTGGCGCGTAAAAAAATACTCTTTGCCGGTGGTTCGTTGTCGGTAGGTGATGGACAAGGGAAACGGAAACTCTCGTTCAGCGAGAATCGAACGTAACTATCGACACGCGCCATTTACCACCGGCACAGTGTTCTAAGTATATCCTACGCAGAAACGTGAATCGCACACGACAATAGGGAAAAACGACAAGTTTTTCACCAACATCGTTAACGACCACACACTTGTTCGCCGACGAGTATCACGCCAAGTCGCTTGGCTATTCACATTCTCCTACCAGCACCGATGCATTCTTCCTCTTCCTTCCTCCTTCTTTCGCGATCGCAGAAAGATCGATTTCAAAGACGACGTCGCCGAGCTCGTTTCCAAAAAAGTGCCCTCCTCTTCGCGTATTTCCCTAGGGATCCACGCCACGCACTTCCTTTCCGTTTCTCGGCCTCTCCACTTCAACGCTGAAATTCTATTCTGCCCTTCTCTTTCCTCTCCTCTCCTCTCCTTTCCTTTCCTTTACACCGACTCCAACTACGACCGCTAATAGGACGTATCGCGATACCCGAACAAGAAGATGGAAAACATTCGTCTTCTTCTCCCTTTCCAAAGCTTTCAGCATTCCCTTCTCCTTTTGAATTTCAACGAAGCCAGAACGGTTACCTAGACTCTTTCTTCCGATGATTCCACGACCATTCCATATTTATCTCCGTTTTGCCCGCTCGAAAGATCACTTTCGAGAAGTTTTTTGTCAAGCTTCGTCGCGCGTCCTGTTCACTTTATAGCCGGAAACGTCTGTTGGACCTCTGTTCGTTCGGTTACATTTTCCGGCTGGTCGATTCTAATCTTTTTTCTCCCTTTCCTCCTGACTTACGATTGATTACGCCACCCTTCTTCATGCTACCCTTCGAAACGCCCCTATTTCACCTACTCCTTTTCTACTTTTCTCTCTCCCTCTCTAGCACGAAATCTTTAATAACGACAGATCGCACCTTGATGTGTCGGGTAAAAAACGAGCCGGTGAACTGGTTAGCTTGCCAAAAGAGAGATTTCAAACGAAGCTATCTATTTTGTTTTGCGATTGACCCTTCGAAGATTGGCTCGACAACGGTGTAGGGGGACTGGATAGAGAACGTTTAACGTTCCGGCAAATTCTGAAATTTTACCAAATACCCAACTATGGCGAATTTACTGGTAAAAATTCGCGCGCGTCCTTTTTGCCTCCGTTCGTGTCATATTCGCAAAGGCTACACCGTTTTTCCACTCGTTCCTTTCGTCTTCGTTCCGAGGTGTACGTACGCGTAAGAATTTTTACGACTTAAAATGGCCGAGGTAGGGCCAATGACCACTTCCACAACCGATCGTTCGACGGTCACTGTGCCACTCGAACTGCGATGCGTGACGAATCGTTTCCTTCTTCTTCCAACAGCCAAAGTCGGAGAAATAGTCGCGCGTTCCAGAAGCGATGTCTCACGTCCTTCGGCACAACAACACGATCCAAATGTGTTTACGACTTGGGAAGTATAAAAACAGGGGAAGAAGAACACGTGTCAATGGTTGCCGCAAACTCAAGGTTAAATTGCAAAATAGCCTACGATGTTATGGGATCACGTTGAGGGGTAGTTTTCTGAACGCGCGCTGCGGCTTGACTGACTCATCCCCATACCCCCCGACGATACCCCCTCGCGACCTACCGGCCAACCACGCGCAAGCGCGATATCCCCTCTAACTGGACAATCTTAGTATGAAACGCCTATGAATTCGCGCCAGCAGAAATTTTATAGAATTTTGAATATCTTGCCGCTTTGGGAAACCGTTCGCAGACATCCTACGCTTCCAAATGAAAATGCAGCTCGAGTTTCTGCTCGCGTACGACCGATACTCGCAGACACGAAGACTCCAAGTCGCAGCCTCTTAACGAAGCGTGATAAAACGAAATAATCGGCCAACTTGTTCGAGAACTATTCGAGGGCGAAAAAATGACGTTACTTTTTGGAAAGAACTGTGGAAAAGGAGGAAAAATAGAGGGGAGAGAGAGAGAGAGAGAGAGAGAGAGAGAGGGTGGTTTCGGCGCTGGTTTGAACGCGACGCATGCGTTCCCCGCGCGAGAGGATGTCCGGGGTGAGCCGCCGCCGTACTCTGGCCGACGTATCGCAGTTTCTAGCTCGATGTTTGTCCGCGTGGTACTCCGAGGGACGTTGGTGCTCGTGGCGACCACGAGGGGTACATATACCGGAAAAGCTGACAGCTCGAGATGGAACCGCTTCGATACGAATACGCGGGGCGGCACACGAGTAACTCGCACGCCACCGACAAAGTACACATGTATATCGATACATCCCGCGACGCGATCTTCGACGCTTGCGCTCCTGGGCCATCCGACCTAAACTTGCCAGCAGCTTTTTTCTTTTTCCTACTTCGACGCGAACCTCGGACCCTTCGTCTTCCAACCACGGAACTCGCAAGGCCCTCGGGAGTACGGCAAGCTTCCACCCCAAGAAGAAACCCTCGCCGCCGTCAACGTGATACTCTTTTCGAGCGGGTAAGTGGCCAACCGTGTGTACTTTCGAACACTTTCTTCTTTCCCTCTCTTCTGCTCGTTTATTATTAAAACGCGTTGCCCGGGGCCGTATCAATGGAGTTCCTTTCCTTTCTATTTTACTCCTCCGAGAAAGAAGACAAAAAACGAACGATACGCGCGAACAGGTTCCTTTCGTTCGTTTACCTAACAGCGAATTCAAGCTGATATAACAGAGTGGATAGCGCGATACAAGCGACCAATTGTTCCGGATAATCGATCCATATTTATAACATTAGGGTGAAAGTAATCTAGTTGATATGCGGTTGAACAGCCCCGCCGTTCTCGTTCAGATACCGCCAGCAATTCACCCTTTTAATACCAGCCATCGTCACCCTCGTCACACTAGCCTCCTTCGTCTAACAAAGTACACCGATTCGCTGCCGGAATATTGGATGCGCACTCGCGAACGTGCCGAACGAACCGCATAACTCGTTTCCAACCAAACACGGATATATGTACGTACAATTATCGCGTCCGTTACTTTTTTCATAAGTGCCCCGTTCCTTTCTCTGTGCGAACCGCCAACGGTGTTTAAATCACCGAGCTCGCGTCGATAACACCTCTGCCGCCTGTCACACGATTAAACGTTACGACCTGTCTATTAGCGACCGCGTCGTTAGATGTGAGTATACGTGAATTATTGCATACATGAAAAAATGCAGCTACTCCAAAGTTCGACAACAGCATCTCTTTTTAACTTGAAACAGACAGGCTCTGCTCGGTTCTCCTCTTTTGCCTCTTTTGCCTTTTCTACCTCTCGAAACGTTGGTGGAAACAAAAGAGAAATGGATGAGCCGGTAGACTTTCAGTCAGAAATATAAACAGGTCAACGTAACTTGGCAACAACGGAATCGTTGAGAAGAATGGGAAAAGAGGAGCGCGGTACCGTATCTCCGGAGGGAAAAGCGTGTTCCTTTGCTCTCGGTGATAATAAAAAATTCCAAGGTGCGCGTAACTTAATTTAATATCGTGGCCAGTGTACCGTGACCCGATGATAAATCCCTCGGTATCTCTGACCGTGCCATTTCTATTCTTCCATTCTAAAATCTGCCTACTTATTCTTGTTCTCGAACAAAAGATGATAGTTGGAATAAGAATAACCGCGGAAGAAACGCCGCGTTCCGGTAGGCGGCGGCGGAAGACTTAAATTAAAGCGAAAAGATAGGCCAAGGGCTGGAGGAAATAAGAAACGGATGGCAAACGATCGGGGCAGAATATCATCCAGTGTCGGGAGTCGACTGCGTAATACCATTCTTTGCTTATACATATCCTCTGTAATTAAACTCGCCTCGGCTATGCTGTTTTACGAGCGACCGT